TGGGGCACCCAAACACCTTCTTTAAAGAGTTTTTCCATATTCCTTAGATGTTTACGTATTGTTTTATGAGAGACATGCAATTTCTTGGCCATTTCACAAGTGTGTTGCGTTGGGTTAGACCTAACAAGGGTTTTCAGAGCATCAATATCAATTCCAACATGTCGGCCCCTGCCATCACAGTTTTTAAGGCTAAAGTCACCTGAACGAAATTTGTTGAACCATCTTTGACACTTACGAACGTTCAAAATATTTCCGTAAACTTCTTTGATATTGTTTGTGGCTACAGAGGCGTTGTTTCCCTTCTTGTATTCAAACAGCCTTACTTGCCGAATATGTGTTCCTTCCTGTGCCATCACTATAAGGGATTAGGGTATACTAAACTTTACACATTATATAGGCTACACTAACGTGACGTTATACGTGATGTACGTTTTTTGGGAGGTGGTTAACGAAAGTGTTTCAAAACGCGACATTAATTCCTTGACGACCTAATATATATATATTCGTATATTATAGGCTTTTTTATGCTTCACATTGGTTTTGATGTCTTTTAATGCAGTTTATCTAAAATTTATTTGTTTATGATATCAGTAGTCTATGATTTCATTATCATAGTCACATTAAGTTTTATATGCAGTGTCATAAATTATCTTGATTTTTTTTTGCTTGCTTCTGCGGATTCAATAGGTCAGTACACACAGAATTATGACTAAGTAAAGTTTCTAATGCGTGATTACTATTCAGTATTTCGTGGAATAACTTTTCATCGGCGTTATACCCAAACTCCTAAGTTGGTTGTATTTTGCGGACAGGAGCACAGTCTCAACAGAAACTTAGCAATATCAAATTTGAATGATAATATAATGGCGTCGATAAAGTTAGTTTTAGTAGGTTAAGCGTTTTAGATTTTGACTTTTCTGTCACTTAGTCTTACTGTTAGTGTAAGGTAAACAGTTTCAACTGAGTACGCGTCTCCACAAATTGCCGTATGCTAGTGTCAGTATTGAATTTTGAAACTAACGATAATAATAATAGTTAATACTAACTGTTAGTGTTACCTTAACTTTTAAATTATATATATATATATATATATATATAACTGGAATTTGGAGGCCCAATAGTAATACTATTAGTATTACTATTACTAGTTTTAGTATTGCTACCCGTACTACTAGTACTACTGATACTGTAAATTTATTGATATTATTATTACTAGCTCAATTTGTGTGACATAGGCTTAAAATGTATTATTAATAATATTATAAAAGGAGCGCTATTCAGTTTACGGGCATGTTTTATCATAATTTGTTACCTCTCTTCTTAATCTTACTCTTCTTACTGTTATTAGTGTTAGTCTTAACAGAACAGAAGGAAGTAGTGCCTAGTGTGAAGTTTAAAAATTAAACAAGTAAAACTAGATTCTGAGTAAATTAGACATGTCAGTTTTTTGTATGTAAATTATTACTAAATAGAAAATTTATTAAACTTTATGATGATTGCTTTGAATCTTGTATAGATTTTTTTTAATACAACAGTATATTATGTGTAGTTTTCTTACTTTACATTGTGAATTCCTAAACCCAAGAGAAAGAAAATAAAGAAGTAAAATAAGAAGGATTCTTTTAAGAACCAAGGAATGGGGTGGAGTGTTAGTGTATATGTGTGAAATACAAGATTTAACTGAGAATGATAAATTATACTGACATTGTAGAATCTTAATTATGCATTCAACACATAATAAATAGAATAATCATTAATTGCACTTCATAAATAGAAGATAATCAACAGGACTTGGATGATGTGTAAAACTCCAATTAATTTCCAGTGCACTAAGTACAAAGTTTGAGAAAAGATAATAATGGTATTTAAAGAAAGTATAGTCAATACCAGATAAATTTGAATGAGGAAATATTACAGTTTGGTATAACTTCAAGAGAATGATTGTAATGATACATAAAGGTTTTCCTGTCTGTTTCACTTAAATAAATGTTGCACTTTTTTTTGTTTTTTAATTAAAACAATCATAGTTGATCACTT